CTTGGCTTCTTAAAGCTTATTTACAATATAGCAAGCAGTGATCCTCTTCAAAACCTAAGAAAGAGCATGACTCCTTTGCTCAACACTCTCCATCTCTTCACCTTGTAGTTAGAACCAAGGTACAACACCCCGCAGCTTCACTCAGTCCACCCCCAGCGCCTCTAATCCCTTCTACACGCTTTGCCCTTGTTATCCTTGTTCTTTTTCTCTTATTTATTATTTAATGGTATGAGTGTTTTGCCTGTATGTATATAAGTGTACCATGTATATGCAATGCTAGAGGCCAGAAGAGGGTGCCATATCCCCAGAACTGGAGTTACAGGTGGCTGTTAGCGTCCATCTGGGTGCTTAGAACCAAACCCAGGTCCTTTGGAAGAGCAACCAGTGCTCTTCACTGCTGAGCCATCTCTCCAGCCCCCTTTTCTTAAATATTTATATTTTAAGGTGTTTTGCCTGCGTGTGTACAGGGCTTCCCATGTTCTAACCACACTGGTCTTTTTGCAATTAAGGCTGTTTGGGAAGCAGAGGGAAAACACTCAGTGGTTGTGGTGATGGGGGACCTGCAGTCGTTGTCATACCAATTACAATTTTGAGATGACATACTATTTTATGCATTCCATATTTTCAGCCTGTTGTGTTCTGTGCAATGACATAGTATATCTTCAGATTCTTTTATACCCTTTTAATCAATAACTTGGTCTAATTCCTTTCCTTCTAAATAAGGGTAGGTCTTTGTTTTTTTTTGTCTTTTTGAGATCGGGTCTCCCTGTAGTCCCACGCCCGGCTAAGGGTAGGTCTTTTTTAAAAAAATTATTTTGTTTTTATGTGTATGAGTGTATTGCCTGCATGTACGTGAGTGTACCCGTGGTGTGCAATGCCGCAGAGATCAGAAGAGGGCATCGGATTTCCCTGGAACTGGAGTTAAGGACGGTTTGTAGTCGCCATATGGGTGCTGGGAATCAAACCCGGGTCCTCTGCAAGAGCAGTCAATGTTCTTAACCGCTGAGCCATCTCTCCAGCCCATAAGGGTAGGTCTTAGTTATGGCCTTGATAGAGTGCTGAAAAGGTGGTCCTACATGACTTCTGAAGAGCATCCTCTGTGAGTGCTGGGTGCTGGCTCTCTTCACCCACCACCCAGCCATCAGAAAGTGGAACAAGCATGTGGAAAGACCATGTGATCCAAAAAGTCTCCACAGAACTAAGACCAACTGAGTTTCCTTTTTGGGCCATAAAGAAACAGAGCTCAGTCATGTTTCTTAACACTGCTTCATAGGCTTAAGGGAATGGGGGCTATTGGAAAAAAACAGATGCTATTTGAAAAAATAAACTTTAAGAACTTTCAGTTCTTAAAGAATACAGGTATGTCCACCTTCTATATATTTTATAGATGGCTTCCCTTCTTTAAACACCTAAATCAGTAAATAACCAACCCTATTCTTATGGTGACTCAACACAGATTTAAGCACCCACTTTATACAAGCACCTCAATGGTAACATACTCAAAACTGAACTCCCAGTCTTCTCCATCCCACAGGCTTAGTGGTCCCCAGGAGTTCTGTTTCAGGGGTTGGTTCTACCATCACTGGCAGCACCTGTCCACACACCTACTACCTCTGCTCACTGCAGGTGTGGCATGTAGCTAGCACTTAGTTTTTGTGGAATAAATACTGCATACATTTCACATTATGGAAACTGCCATTTAATCAGACCCTCAACTCCTTGAAAGTGCAATGAAATGGAATATAGGTTATTCAAACCCAAGCAAATCTTTAATGCCTCTAAGGCCTAGGCCCTTTCCACCATGCCAAAGCTACCAGTATTTACTCAAACAGTGGGAATGCCTTCGAAAAGTCCTGTCATTACTGTGCACCAACATGCAGTTAAATGAATGAACTGATTATAATTTTCTCTGCTCTACCAAACCTCTACTTTTCATGCTGTGCCTCATGAATGTGTGTCACTGCTGGGAAATGAGCACTAACTGTGCATTCAGGGCAGTTACCGGCAAATTTGAGCGAAATGCTGCTATCTTGATAGGAAAGATTTCTTTGAGCTCTACTAAGCATTTCTGAAAGCAAATTGTGTCACCAGACTAAAATTACATGCAAAATTATCTAAACTGCTCACATATGACAGGAAGCCACATGTAAAGATGAAGCTTTCAAAATGTAGATGAAGCAGAGTGGTATCGACTTCTAATTACCTCCAAACGAAGCCTGTGCTCACGGGTGAGGTATAAAATGCAAACAATTAGAGAACAGGAGAGCAGGAGACTTGAGGTAGCAATGGAGGCGCTGTCACAGCTGACTGCACGTGGTCATTCCTGAACTCTGTGTACTAATTTGAAACCTACTGGGTGCTCAAATAAGGAGGCATTGTTTCTGGACTTGGTCCACTGCTTTTCTCTGCATAACATGAGCAGCATAGGGCATACTTCGCAGGGGCTGAGCAGGTTTTTCTACTGTGTTTCCCACACTCAAGAAATTATTAATTACATGAATCAGTTGTCGGCTAATTCAATTTTCTGGATGTAGATTCTCAGTTGTTTATCACCACACCTTCGGGCAAACAATTCTCAGTTCTCAGTCACCTTTTCTGATTTGATCATTCTTAGCTACACTTTTGGACATCTCATGGGATCCTTCAAACAAGTAATCAAGTCTGCACATGAAGTAGAAGCCAGTGGATAACCCTTCAATTCTAAAAATAAAAATACATGGTATTATGACCATTTGAGTAACTCCAATTTTTTTTTTTTTTTTTGGTCTTTTTGAGACAGGGTCTCCCTGTAGCCCCAGCTGGCCTGGAACTCACTATGTAGACCAGGCTGGCCTTGAACTCACAGAGATCTGCCTGCCCTTGCCTCCCAAGTGCTGGGACTATAAGCATGCGCCACGCCCAGCTGTAACTCCAAAATTTTAAGAAATAACTTCTCTAGGTGCAGTACTCCTTTTTCATGAAGAGAGCTAACATTTATTTATTAACCTTACTCAAGAGTTCTTAGCCTTGGTGCAACAGACATTTTAAAACCAGGTAATTCTGTTACATGATGTGTATTTTTGTATATTAGGAGCATCCCTGGTCTCTTTCTTCCCTATTCACTATCCAATTGTGACAAAAATGTACCCAGAAATGGCTAAATGTTCCTTGGCAGGCCTCTACTTAAGAACTACTGCCTTAGACATATCAATTTATTTAATCTTGTAAACAAATTCTATGAGGTAACTTTTATTCTCAAATGTATATTAATCAGTTTTGCATTACTATAACAAAATTCATGAAATAACCCATTTAAAGGAGGAAAGGTTTCCTGTGGCTCACAGGTTGAGAGTTTTGGCTCAGAGCTTAAGTCATTTGGTCCTGTTGCTTTGGGACTTGTGGCTGAGTATTACACTGTGGCAGGGAGTGAGTGGTGAGGAAGCTGATCACCTCATGACAACCAAGAAGCAAAGATGAGTTAGGGAATGGAGTCCCAATATCAACTTCAAGGGCACACCTTAAGGAATGCAACTTTTCCTACTATGCCTTACCTTGTGAAGGCTCCACTACCTTGCAATAGTGCCACAGGCTGGTGACCATGTTTCTAACACATGTAGTGACATCCCAAACCACAGCAATAAATGAGAAGACAGAGGCAGAGAGGTTTAATAACTTGGCTAGAGCCACAAAGCCATAGTGATACAATTGGCTTGACCAAGGTTGCCTGATTTTATGACTTCACAGCAAGTCTTAACTGCTACCTTGTTTTTGTCATTACCCCTATAGAGCTACTGAAGGCTGGTGTGGGATTGCAATGACTAGGAAGAAGAGGAGAGAGGGCTTTTTCTGTGAGTCCTGGCTCCTGGTTAAATTAAGAAGGAAAGTGTAAAGCAGAAGATCATCTGCATTCCAATAATCAGTAAGTCCACAGCTTAGTAACTTTCGTCACCTAACAACTAAAAGTAGTCTACTACTTTTAGACCAAGGTAGAGTAGACACTGAATATAACTAAGTGCCTCCACTCTTGACAGATTATCTGGCTCACTAGCTAGCATGATTCTCATAGATTTCTTCTTATAATTGGAAATGTATATTTTCCAATGAAAGGATATCATTTGCAGATGACCCTTGTTAAAATGCTAATATGTATATTAAGCTCTATTACTCTTCATTTAAATAAATTGATCACATTACTGAGTTATTTAGCAAGCCATCAGAAAGTAAATTAAAAAACTGCAAACTTCTGAAGGCCCAGTCAGGGCAGGGAAAATGCAGTTACAAGTACTGTGGAGAGAAGCCACATCTAGGGCTGGGAACACGATGTGAGAAGCGTGGGGAGAAGCAGTAGAGTTGCTCATCAGATGCTTCGCCTCCTTCTGTCCTTACCCTCGGCTTTTATTTGCCTCTCCTCTCTAATATTCCACAGTTTCTACCGCAAATTTCAGATTGGCCCATGCCAGGCCACCCACATCTGCTTAGCAGAATATGAGGAGCTGAAAACAGTTACCTAAACTAAACCGCTCTCTACTCTCTGCAGGTCTCTGCATGCGGAAACCTGAGTGTGAATCTGATCTTGAATGGCTTTTTCCTGGTGCTGCCTTCTCCAAATTTGTGAAGCACTGAAACAGCTTCTAAGAGACTGGAATGAGGATGCACACTTCTAGTGGTGGGTGCTACCATTCTGACCTGGAAGTCTTCCCTTATCTTACACATGGAGGGGGAAAGCAATTCATTCCTCTCTTCCCACTCCTTATCTCAGAGTAAAACTGAAGGGGTAAACTACTTGTTTTCTTTGAATCAGATAGTGCCAGAAAATCACTACATAAAAAGGCTTCTTACCTAAGAATGCCTACTGCGAGAATTTGTCTTCCAAAACGGAGTGAGGGAATAAAACGCCACTGAAATTTAAACTAGATTGCAATTAAGCACTTTAAACCCGCTCAATTTTCAGGCATTCAAATGCTAACAGAAAACTGCTTAAAAAATATGAACAGGTAAGGCAGTCAGAACCAAGGTCCATGTCTGATTTAAGAGTAAAAGAATTTATTGTGGAACTTTCAAAGGAAAAAAAAAAAGAAATGAAAACCATATGCTGATAAAAAAGCCATGTTGGGTAGTTAATTACAACAGTGACCAGATAACCCTTCCAGAGCATGTGAAGACACCAACAGGACTAGATACAGAAAGTAGGTCTACATCTGAGCAGGCCACCTTGTATTTGAGAAAATTAAGGAGAAAAGATAAGCAGATAGATACACACTTAGATTTTAAGACGAACTTATATAGTTTGCAACGATGGACTTCTAAAATGGTGGCCTTAGGAAATCTGCTTTGGCAAGCAACTGCAGAGGCTCCTGTGGAGAGGAAGTGAAAAGGCTGGGCATACAAACAAGGGCTGCTGGCACGTTCAAAGCGCAGGGGATAGTTCACAGAGCAAAACACAGTCCTAAGTAAATGGGTTTCAGGCAATTTCAGTGTTAAGATAACATCATTAAGAGTAGAACAGATTGTGCTCCAACCCTGCTGTTTATAATTAACACGTTGCTTCCAAATACTCCAGGGCCCCTGGTAAATAGTCTTCTGCTCACATCCACTCAGACCAATCAGAGTATTTTCATCAGGTTCCATGCTGGGCCAGCACCTGTTTGGACAAATCCAATAGCGCCAAAGAGCTCCTCTCCCTGGCCAGCTAAGTAGTTGGATGAACACAGCTTGGCTTAGTCATTGTCACAGTGTCCATATGGCTTTGAAGCTTGTTTTCACAAGAAATCATACAAGTATTTTATTATGTCAAAGTTCACCGTCCTATAAACAAAAACAGATAGCATGTTAGCGTCCTCACCTCTGGATTGCTCAGCTTTGTATGACTGTGAAGCACATGCAGAGTAATTCACAACTGACCGTTCAACAACTGGATGGAGCTGCCAAACGACCAGGGCGGGGATGGCACTAACTTCTAAAGAATGTAACTAGAAACACAATGTTTTAGGTTTTTTGATTTTTTTTTGGCCATGCATAAAACTTAACTTTACTAAAAAAAAAAAAAGGATCAAAATTTTAGCAACTCAACATTATATATTCCAACTATATTGCAGAAAGTTTAGATTTCATTTGGAAGCTACTTGCTTTCTGCCTAATAATCCGAATAAAGTAATTAGAGATGCAAAAGTATTAATCTTTTTTTTGCCTCTGAACATTGTCCATCTTCCAAAACACCTGTTTTATCGTCATATAAATGCACAGCTCATCTGTCCTCATTTGCTGTTTTCATTATCTTCAGTCTTTAACAGCAGCTGACCTGTATGTGGATTGTAACTAAATCTGTCTGATCCAAGAATATGCTACAATAGACAACGTAGATGTATATTTTTATACTCTAATGGCAGGCAGAATAATATAACAGAGAGAAAGAGACATATAATTATTTTCCTTTCTCTAAACTCATTCTTCACCATAAATATTCAGACTTGGAGGTTTATTATTTGAATAAATGGTCAAAATAATTAGATATAATGATCTAGCAATAAGTATAAAATTAAAGCCTTAAGTATTCAGTTCTGTGAAAAATAATCATCCATGTGAGAACAGCCTTTCAGAGATTTGCTAATTGCATGCCCTTAATTATTAAACCATCACCAATTACTGTTTGTCTATCATCTTATAGCACATTTTCTTAAGAGTTCCTACATAAATAACTGACATATCAAATATTTAAAGAAATATGGACAGGGAACTATAGATGCTGCTTTTGAAAACATATTTAAAAATAGCTCAAATAATAAGATGCTCTGGCTATTGTAGGACCTAATGTTGGATTAAAAAACAACTTGTTTCATTGTAACAGTGCCTCCCTGAAAAATATCAAATTTCTCTAAACAGGAAAAAATATCTTATCAGCATCAACAGTGACAAAATTACCATAAGTGCTCACCTAAATGAAAAAAACTCTCATGCACAAAAAGTCAAAGGGTAAGGTATGAAACCACAACACGACTTGCTTTCACTTAGCTCTGAGACCCAATTTAATGGCAATAAGGTACCTATAAATCATTTTAAAAATTATGCTATTGGCTCACAAAGATTTTTAATCAAAAATCTAGAGAGGAACAAGATATAGTAGGCTACATTTTCTCATCTGCAAAAAAGGAAAGTGGGATTTTTACATATCTCTGGGCACATTTCCCTATAATGACTCTCAGCAGTAACTTTTTGTTATAAAGGTTAACAAGCTAAAATGGACTTAATGATTTTTTTATTCTTAATTTTTTGCCTTGGGTACAAACAAAAAGTACTGAAGAAGTTAAAATAAAAGAAACTTAAATTCCAACATTAGGAGAATGTCTACATTACAACGCACTATTCAATGAACCAATATAGTCATATAAAATGATCAATATGAAGAAGCACCTACAACAGTAAGAATGAATAGGAGAAGAATCATAACTATGTTGTACTAACTTGGAAACATGTTTGTCTAATGAGCTAATACTAGAAAAAATCATCAACAAATGAAAACAGATTCATTTATGGTGGGACTCATATGTTTCAGTAATAATTTAACACAGTTTATACCATAAATATTCTTTTATTATTTTTATTTTATGTGTATGAGTGTACTGTCTGCATGTAGGTTGGTACACCCATGTTGTACAATGCCTGTGGAGGTCAGATCTCCTGGAACTGGAGTTATGGATGGCTATTAGCTGCAATGTGGGTGCTGGGAATCAAACTGGGGTCCTCTACAAGAACAGTCAGTGAGTGCTCTTAATCACTGAGCCATCTCTCCAATCCCATCAATAAAACGTTCTTTAATAGAATGAATGAACCAATTTAAAAGCTCTAAGTAACTTAAAGTATTCATTTATAAGAGATTCACTACAGTCCACATCTCTTCTTTGTCAGGAAGTCCTCAAGCAAATCAAATCATATATCCATACTCAAGTACCAAGGATCTTAGTGCAACTGACGATGACTAATAATAATTAGATATATAAAGATTAGAGATGCATGCACCAACATCTAAGTGTTATTGGCAAAAACAGTGAGTCTTTCTGTAAGAAACAGTATACTTTAAAATGAAATGGAGATCTTTTTTAAAAGTTAAAAACTCATTCAGGGCTGGAGATAGCACAGCCATTAAAGGCTAAGGCTAACAACCAAAACATAAAAGGTTTGAATCCCAGCACCCACAAAAGAATGCTGTCTCTTCGGCTACCCTTGAGCTGGGCGTGGTGGCACATGCCTTTAATCCCAGCACTCAGGAGGCAGAGGCAGGTAAATCTCTATGAGTTCAAGACCAGCCTGGTCTACATAGTGAGTTCCAGGCCAGCTGGAGCTACAGGGAGACTCTGTCTCAGAAAGACCGAAAAAAAAACTAAAAAAAACCCCAAAACCCACCTCATTCATTTTTATGTCTTACAGGGTTTACACTGAGTTCAATATTGTATAACTGTATGAATTCAACTGTGAACCTAAAATTTTATAGCCACTTTTGAAAGAGATGCTCTGGAAATTGTTATTGAGTATGTTAAAACTGTAATGAAATGCTTCTTCTAAACAAAAAGACTTTTACATTTAAGGGACTGGAGAGATGGCTCAGTGGTTAAGGGTACTGACTGTTTTTGCAGAGGACCTGGGTTTAGTTCCCAGCACCCACATGGTAGCTAACAACTATCTGTAACTCCAGTTCCAGGGAATTCGATGTCCTCTTCTGACCTCTGCATGACACAGGTGCACTTACATACATGTAAGCAATAGACTCATTCACACAAAAAAATATTAAAAAAAGACTTTTATACTAAAAAAAAGCAACTGAATGTTCAAGAAACTAAATATGTATAATCATTAGGTTATGAAACCTTTTCTGCCCAAGATGTCCAACTGCTTCTATCATTCCTCCAGCCCACAACAACCACGTGACCTGCCTACTGATTCCCACATATATCTTCTGAAAACATATCAGTATTTGACAGCATAACCAGAAGGCCAGTGTCAAATACTATGTTGCACATTTTCACAGTAACTGCTTTAAAGGACAACACACTTTAAGGAAAGCTCTGACTTATAAAGTTTTGTACTTTTTGTTATGAAATCTTTTTTGTTGTTGTTGCTTTGCCTTTTTGGGACAGGGTCTCCCTGTAGTCCCAGCTGACCTGAAATCATTATGTAAACCAGGCTGGCCTTGAACTCACAAAGATCTGCCTGCCTCTGCCTCCCGAGTGCTGGGACTAAAGGCATGCACCACTACGCCCGGCCTTTGTACTTTACATTTTTTAACTATTTCCAGGGTCCAGATGTGTACTGGACTTATATAAATACAAAGATTTCAGATAACTTTTATCTAGTGCAGGAGATTGTGTGTCTCCAACGGAACACAAAAAAGTATTATCTACTGTAAGCAACTAGAAAGAAATAGGAAGCACAATGTAGGTAATGATTTTCCTAGAAACATTTTTTGCAGGTGTATGTGTATGTGGTCTGCATACACATATAGGCCAGAGGTTCACATTGTGCATCTTCATTTATGTATTTACTGAGTCAAGGGTGCTCACAGAACCTGCAATTTGCCAATTACAGTTAAGTCAGCTAGCCAGCTTAGCCCAGGGATTACCTGTCTCTCCCTTCCACATGCTGGGATTACAGGCAGTCACTATTCCTGTCTGGCCTTTACCTATGTTATGGGGAGCCAAACTCTGGTCCCTAAGCTTGCATAGATAGTGCTGTATCCACTGAGTGGCCTTCCTATACCCCCTAGGAGTAATTCTTAAATCAAAATTTGGAACAACAGAAGGAAATCATATGACATATTTAAGGGTTTAGTTTTATCTGTACCCTATTTTATCAATTCTTTTACCTAACACAGGAATTTTTTTCCTCTCATACTTTTTGAGCAGTTTCAGTCTGGGTTCTTTTAGAAATCTGTTTCTTCTGGTAACTTACAATTATAAACGTCACGATGCACCTTAATGTATCTTGCAGTATCTTCCCACTGATTATGGAGAAGTAATTCAAATGCATAACTTCCATCTCACAGTAAGAACAGCCCACGGACAACACCTAACTTCTTGATCACCTATTTTCTCTATACTCCACATCCCTTTCCTTTCTGGAAACAGCTTCTTACTGCTTTCTTATCCAATCCTTTTCACTGCTCCGGTCCTCTATGTCTTCAATGGATTTTCTTTCTCCTATTCTGGGCATAACTGAAGGCTTCCCCCAAAGGGCAGTTTTCTCTTCAGCTCTTTTCAATGAAAGTTCATCTCTCTATTATATCCCAAACAGTTCAGTCAGGTGCAAAAAAACCCTGCTTCTAAGAACCAGACTATTCCAGGCACCACCCTCTACCACCTTTTCACCATCTCCTAGTCACTGAAAATTTAGCATTAGTTTGGTTTCCTTTCTATCTGAAGACCTGTACCAGTACAAAATACACTGCACATTTGTCTTCTCATTCTAATAACTGTACACTGAAATATTTACCTCCCAAAACATACATTCAGACATTCCACCTGCCAAGTCCCAATTTGTTCCATTTCAGCTATCTGGAACACCTAGGCACAATCAGGTCACAAATCCCTTCATTTTCTCCTGACCTACAACACTGAGTGTTTATTTATGTGGCAGACATCAACTCTTAGGCCCTGGCTGGTTTGCCTTCCTTCCTGTCCAGCTCAGACTCCATGGTTCATCACTTGCTAGCATCCACTGAACTCTCCTGGCAAAACCCCAAAGCTATGTGGTATCAATTATAATTCTTTGCTGTCCTAGTATCTAGCATATGGAATGCTGTTGGAAAACATCACAAGTCTCACAAATTGATGCCACTGTAAATTTGAGGTCAAGAACTTCAAACCCTCTCAGCAAGATGCTTTCCCTGTCAGCATTTTCTTCCATTCCCATGGTAGCTAATTCAAACACCTCATACTTTTTTCAAACTGCTAGTACATCTGCCTTTAGTCACAATTTCTGTCTCTTTCTTCACAGAGAAAACAGACATCAGATGAAAATTTCCTCAACTTTTTGCCAAACCTTCAAATTCAGCTTCATTTGAATTCACCCTGTTCTCCTGTTTTAAGGCTAGAGCACACATCTAAACAGAAAGACTTTTAAATAGAATAGTGATGTTATTTTTTATAATGTGGCTCTTTCAACTCTCATTCTAAATCCCAGATTTCTACAACACTGCAAAGATTTTGTTTTAAATTAAACTTTCTGCTTTATATATCATTAACTTTCCTTCATTTCCCCCCATAAACATTTAAATATGCTCATATCTTCAATCAATCAATCAATCAATCAATCAGTCAGTCAGTCAGTCAGTCAGTCAGTCAGTCAGTCATCAAGGATGTAGCTTTGTCACACTTGTTTCTGTATCTCTCAAAACCTCGCATTTGTTTACAATGGGAACACGATGAATGTTAAATTCACAAAGGAGAAAAGGGTCTATCTGTGCTTGCTGCATCTACTTTCTCTTAAATACTATTTAAATGGACTGGAATGTGACTTCTGCCCTATCACATGCTGCAAGTGTTTCTGCTGACATTATAAATGAGTACTCTGTCATGAAATCAGAGACCTGCTCAATTTCCTAACAGTAACTGACTTTTGACCATTACTCTCTTCCTTTAGGCTTTCCTAGTTTATACACATACATGTGAAAGTTGCACATATATAACTTTACATATAACTATACACTTGTGCTCCTATCATTACTTTCTTAGGATTTTATTCTTCAAAAGCAATAACTGCATAGCAGTTTTTCATAATAAATTACTGATCAACCTGATCATCTGTTCTTTTTCCAAACTACCCTCAGGACTTCCTCTTTCTAGCAGTTCTCAATTTTGAATGAGACTGCCTCCTTAACTTCCTTTTTTATCATCACCTCAAAAACAAATTCACATGATTTCTTTCTATCTGAAGTTTTATTGATATAGGAAAGTACAGGAATACCTGTAACATTTATTTAGCATACACTAAGTTTAAAACATTGTACAAGGCTTGAGGAATGGGCAGAACAGAAGGAAACACATTCTGTGCTCTGAATTTCATGAGTGTATTTTCCAGAAAGAGGAACTCTAATTAGCCTGCTAGCCACTGAAATTGATAAATACATTATTAAAAAACAAAATGGCATCTTCCCAATTGTAAGAGATAGTGATGGTAGCCATGGCATGTCTGAAGAAGCTTAAGAAACAGAAATTCACATTGAATTTAAAGACTGTATTGATGGGCAGGAGTAGTAAAATGCAGCACACAAGGATGGGAAGCAAAATGGTGAATATAAAACCTTAAAAAGGCAAGTGTGGATAAAACGCAAATCCTGAAAGAAGGCGCTGCCAGGCATGGCTGGTCACAGGGCCATATGAAGTGGGGCTCACAGAGCTGAGAGTTATGTGTAAATACAAAAGACTTCAAATAGAACATTAAGATTTTATAGAGCCATTCTGGTTACAGTGAGGATAGTAAGGTATAAGGGGTAAGAGTGGAGAGATTAACTAGGTTACTAAAGAATGTAGTAACATGATAAGATAATAAAAATGGATGAATTTGTGATCTATAGGAAGATATGGTAGATTCAACAGGAAAAAATGAGTGGACACTGAGAGTGTGGAAGAGAAAAATGGCAAGATGACTCAAGTTTCAGGTCTGTGCAATATGGCAGACTGCAGTGCTGAGAGCTAAAATACGGAACACTGAGAGAAAGTTGGATTTTTCTTTTCTTCAGTATTGAGTTAGATGGTAAATGTCTAATAAAGGTCAAAAATATGAACAAGGTATGGCCTTTAACAATAAGGGGAGTTTCTGATGTATAGATGGTTGTTGAAGTTGTAGGTAGCTAAATTGCCTAGGGAAAAGTGTACTATGAGGAAAGAGGCTAGGATCAAGCCTCAAGTAACAGCTCCATTTAAAGGTCAGATGGAGAAGACAAGCTGGCAATGATCCCCTGCAAAAACAGCCAAGGAATAAGTTTTCAAAACCAGCACCACAGAATACATAGGCTCTAAGAGAAGAGGGCTTTAAGAAATACAGTGGTCAACAGTATCAGGTTCCTCTGAAGGGGCAAGTAATCTGAGCTGAGCAGAGGCTCTAGGGAAATGGAAGAGAAGGAATTCTGAGCAGGTGAAGAATCTAGCTTAGGCAGGAAGGACTTTATATATATATATATATATAAATGAAATGAAGAGGATGGGCATTGGTACTGGCAGTTGAAGGGAATCTAAACTGATGGCTCACTTTTTTCTATGAAAGTATGGAGTATGTAAAGAAGAAACACAGATGTTAGGATGTGGTTTGAATAAAGTCAAGAGTCTAGTGGACTTTACACTTTACTCCTCAGTACCTAAGCTGGAATGCCTGGGAGAGTGGAGGAGAACAATTTGTCACAAGGAAAATAAAGAGGCAGCCACATACTACAAAGATCTGGAAGTAGCTGGAGCTGGGGTGGTGTGGAAGTGGCAATAAGGAGGAAGAGGCACTGAAATGACCTACAGCCTTGAGGAGAAGGAACAAAAGCAGAATCATCGGGGAGAAACAGGTTTCAGTAAGGAAGTGTGCTGGATAGCTTTAGTTGTCAACTTGACACATCTGGGTAGAAGGAGCATCAATTGGGGAACTGCGTCCACTGGACTGGCCTGTAGGGCATTTTCTTGATGGTTGAGTGTTATGGGAAGGCCCAGCCCACCCTGGGTGGTACCACCCCCTGGGCAGGTTGTTCTGTACTGTATAAAAATGCAGGTTGAGCAGGGGCCAGGAGAGCAAGCCAGTAAGCAGCATTCCTCTATGGCCTGTGCTCCAGTTCCTGCCTACAGGTTCCTGCCCTGAGTTCCTACCTTGGGCTCCCAGACGAACTACAACCCTGAAGATGTAAGCCAAATAAACGCTTTCCTCCCCAAGATGATATTGGTCAGAATGCTTATCATGCAACTGAAGGCAGTCTAGAACAGGAGATAAGGAAGACAAGTGGGAGAAGATGGTAGGACACTGGATGGGGAGAAAAACAGGAGGTTAAGTCAGTGGAAAAGAAGAAAATGTTCTGTAAGAGTGGAGGAGGACAGCCATGGAAGATACTGCAGGCCCATGGGAAAAGAGAGTAAAGAAACAAAAAGAAAGAAAGTTACAGAGTTCGCTGGCACAGTGGTAGGCCTATGGCTCCAGCTCCCTTCTGAGACAGTACCAGAAGGGGATGTCTCTGGATGAGGGTTACTATCCCCCTGTTGCTATGGATTAAAACATCAAATTTAGTGTGGCTCAAGGTATGTTCAGTATGTTAGAGACCCACAAACCTTGGCCCTGTACATGATTATGCTAGGGCAAAACTGAACAATAAATTCAGAGTAAAAGCAATCCTCCAACCCCAAATAAAACAAACCAAAACCAAAACCAAAGTTGTGCCTTTGGGAGTGGCTCTTAGGTATAGATATAGATGTTCCAGTATTACTAACTAGAAAATAATTGTTCTTATTTCATGATCATAATGAATATATCCAACAAAAGTTTCTGCTAAATTTTGTCTGTGTAAACCAGAATAAAACATTAAAATCATCACTTCATGTGTGAGAGTCCATATGCCACTGAGATATGCCAGATACCTGCATCATGCTATCACAGAGCTTTTTAATTCAGGGAAGACTTCAGGGCAGGGGTTGCCAACTTGGGAATCTCAGAAGCTCCTGTAAAGTTTACTGGAGGAGATCTGAAAATCCATACTGTGCTCAAGCGCTATTTTTAGGCCTAATAAATACTATCTTACACCTACATATTTCACACTATGAAATTTTTGCAAATACTTCCCATGATTCATTTAAGCACATTACTTCTTCCACTATGCTCTCACAGAGCAATCTAGCTGTGACCAAAAGATGGCATCAGTTACTCATACACACGATCGAACCCTCTCCATAATAGAAAGTACACCTCTTTGTGAGGACACTCCTCATGGCTTCAGACAAGTCTCACTATTACAAACATACTGTCTTCTCTAAACTCCTTATGCTTTAGAATTGCTCAGACTGTGTACTATGCACAAATCAGCCTTGGAAATACTTGGGATGATTAAGATATCCTTCTCAAAAATTTTCTCTCATACTCTGACCATCAGTTAGGGAGGTGACATGGTTCTTCATCACTCCCCTTGTCTCATCAGTATGATGACATTTGTCAATGACCCTCTTAAAACTGTAAGCATAGAACAGTATGTAGATTTGACATGCAATACAACTATTTATCTCTTGAATGCAACACTCTGCTTCTATGAGTATTATTTAAGTAAGAATTTTTAAAGGCCTGTAGTCTGCTAAAAAAATTTAAGACTTAGGCCACGTGTCTTGTTTCAGTACGTAGGAGGCTTTGGTAGGCAATGGTCTCTGAAATCCCACTTTACTAATCTGGGATGTTTACTCCAGTATGTTTCAGTACTTTAGTATTTTGATTTCTGGCATCTAACATATTAGATACTAACCTTAATTTATATCATTAGTCAACCTGATAAGAGAATTCATACAATGAAGCTTTTCATTCTTGGCACTTAAGGGATCTTTTTCTTGTTTAAATGACTGACATTATATTAGAAAGGACATTCATTTTTATATTTAGTACATCATCTGCGTAATTATGACATTTTACATTAACAGTTATCTATAGTTACCGTGCAATAGCTCTGATGAAGTCTAAAGAAACCATGCATTTATATTTTGGTCCGTCAAGTTGATCGTCATGGCCAACCAGGGTCAAAAGCTGTAGGGTTACTAGAGAGGTAATCTAAAAACAAAAGGATACTTTTTATGAGAAACTTTAATGAAATTACACAATACCTTTATTTGAAATTTCACAGTACTGTTAATAAATACATATAAATGACTCTGCAAAGATTATGACTATTTTAAACTCTGTATATTGAAAAACCTATTTTAACTAGAAGTAGCTGCTGAAGAGTCATAGTTTGTTAACAGATATTTAAAACCATTTATAGCATTTTCTCATGAAAGCAGTATGCGTGTGTGTGCCTGTGTGTTTGCATCTATGTGCATATGCATGTGGAGGTCAGAGGATGACTTCAGGTATTATTCCTCAGGAGCCACTCACTTTTTTGAGTCAGGGTTCCTCAGGAGGACCCCAGGCTCAACAATTAGCAAGGAAGGCTGATCAGCAAGCTCCAGGGATCTGCCTGGCTTTGACTTCCCGACTCTGAGATTACAAATATGTTACCATGCCTAGCTTTTTATGTGTTCTGGAGATCAAATTCAGGTCCTCATGCTTGCAAGACAAGCACTTACTAACTGAGCTAACTCCCTAGCCCTACAGAACATTTCTAGTGAACAGGAAGTTATCCAGAGATAAAAGAATCTCTTATGGCAAAATTAAATTAACTGCAACTCTATTTTTCTTTAAGGAATTCATTTACTAAAACATTTGAAAATCATACAACAAACTCCTGTTATTGCAAAAGGCAGGTCTCCTTTGTACTTTTTCTTTCAATATAGAAGAAAGGCTTAACTACCTTTTACTTTGCCACTGGAATTTTCTTGTATTACTTATAACTTCTATTTTCCTATAACTTGAATACTGTCAGATTTAATTAGATTCTTTTATTACCCATTAAATTACTTTCCCACAGTTTTCACAGAAAAATACAAAATTTGTCTTTAATCTAGTTAGGTGAAAATTTCAAAAATACTTTCATATGACTGAGTTTTATACTTTTCTGATATTTATAATGAATATCCAAAGGCAAATGTTGGAAAGTGATCCCCTGATGTCAGCTGCAGTTCTAGTATGATGCCATTTGTAAACTAATCATGTAAACTGTGAAAAATGTATCCTTTCAAGATTTAACAGCCAAAATCCACTTCCAAAATATGAGTACAATAATCACTTGACTTTTAGGGAGAGGGGGGCTGATTTCAGAAAGTTAATACTTAAAAATTTTAAATCTAAACAAAATAACCTAACCAGGAGTTGGTTTTTCACATAAAAAAGCATCATTCTATGGTCTTGTCATACAAGTATTACTCAAAACAACATGTAAACATATATCAAGAAACAGTTGTCACACACAGCAGCATCCCAATGTGCTGACACTTTAGAGTACCTTCTTGGTTTATTGAAATATTGCTGGAGTAAAATCAGAATAATCAAGTACAAAGATAATCTACGGGCTCAACACCTTGAATCTCAAACACACTCATTCAAAATTCCATATCAAAACCATTAGATGCCAGGCATGGTGGTACACATACTTTAATCCCAGAACAGAGGCAGGCAGATTTCTGTGAGTTCAAAGCCAGCTTGGTCTACCTATTGAGTTCCAGGCCAGCTGGGACTACAGGGAGATGCTGTCTCAAAAAGACACCCCCCCCCACCCCACATAAAAAAAACCATTGGAAAAATATACATGAAACTTTTACAGAACTTTCTATATATGTATAAATATAAGAATGTTCATTCCTTCCTTACCATTACTTCATCCTTAACCTACTTAATTTTTATTTTCAATTGAATATTCACAAAACTCTTGAGGACTTACTCTAGGTAGTAGCATTCAAAGATATGAATAGGATCACGGAAAATATCTACTCTGTACTTCCTTGCTTAACTAAATGTTCATGACAACCCAGTAAGTCCAGATGACCAGACTAACACTGGCAGCTAAAAAATAGTTTGATGTGGTCAGTGTGCATATGACAGAAGTTTCTAGACAGGGAAGGTCCTCTGACTCTATCCTTGTACCCAAGTACTGGCATGCACAAGATAAAGATGGAAATAGTCTTTCCCATTCAGCTGCTCAGGATTCAGAGACAAATCTGTTACTCAAAGAAAAGGGATACATGAGAGCATTCCTGTTGTTAAGCTCCTAAATGCAGAAAGTTATTTATAGCTTTTAGTTCCAGCAGAGAAGAGAATATTTAATAGGCAATAAACTAACATCTTAGGAGGTGTATTAGTCACTTTTCTGTTGCTGTGATAGAAACACTGACCAAAACAATTTATAAAAGGAAGAGTTTATTTGAGCTTACTGTTCCAGCGGAATTACAGTCCGTCATGGCATGGTGGCTGGAGGAGAAGCAGCAGAAGCTAAGTTCTCACATCATCATGCAGGCACAGGAAGCAAGAGGGTGACTGGAGATCTGGCAAGGCTTAAGAACTCTGTAGGCCCACCCCCAGTGACGTGCTTCCTCCAGGATAGCCACACCTTCTAAAACCTCCCAAAACAGCACCATCATCTGGGGACAAAATGTCCAAACACTTGGAGCCTATGGGGGACATTTTCATTCAAACCACCACAGGAGGACTTAATCTTTGTTAAGAGAAATACTCCCTAAATAATAACAGGAAAATATACTTAAACATTATGCATTTTTTTAGCACTGTTTAATTTACAGAAGGCTTATCATTCAATTGAGCTTTGAATTATTCTGGAACATACTTCATAATCTAATATTAACAAAGGCTTAGAGGGTAGGGATATAACAACTACAGAAATTCCAGTTCAGACAAGATGACACAGATTCATAGTCTCTGTTCCTCCCTGCTAAGTACAACTAGAAATCCTGGAAATAACATAAGAGTCAACGTAAGAATTGGGAAAGGTGGAAAGAAGACATTGGGGAATGCAGGGACTTGAGGCCTACAGGAACAACACAGAAGGAGCCTAAACTCACCATCGAATAGCAGAAAGTGAGCCTGGCCTTATTCTCACCCCCTCCCTCCCTACCCTGACAGAAGAGAGTACTGTGAAGATGAACTTATAATTCTACAGCTGGCAAAACTATTATTTGCAAATGAAGTAGAAACAAGACATTCTTAAGAATAAAATCAGAGAAATCTGCCACTAGCAGTATGCTGGATACTTCAGTTGTCAACTTAACATGCCTGGGTAGAGGGAACCTTAATTGAGGAATTATCTCCATTGGCTTGGCCTGTGTCCATGTCTGTGGGGCATTTTCTTGATTGTTGAGAAACTGGGGAGGGTTCAGCCCACTGTAGGTGGTGCCACTCCTGGGAAGGTGGTCCTGTGTTATATAAGAAAGCAGGCTGAGCATGGGCCAGGGAAGTCAGTCAGTAAGCAGAGTTCCTCCATGGTCTGTGAGATGGCCTCCAGTTTCTGCCCTGAGTTCCTGCCCTGACTTCCCTTGGTGACAAACTGTGACCCAGGAGATGTAAGATAAAATAAACCCTTTCCTCCTCAAGTTAGCTTTGGTCAGTGTTTTTTATCACAGCAACAAAGTAACTAAAACAAACAGACCTACCTTTAAAGAATAGCTAGGGAGAATTCTTCAAACAAAATTATAAAAGGAAATGAGCATCAAAAAGAAAAATCATGGACAGAACACATACATGGAAAAATACACCAGCTCCTTGTGAGTCTTCTAATAATATTTCATTAAAAATTTTAACAGCATCAGATATTTAAGGCAATGACATTTAAAAAGTGGAAAAGTGAAACAACCTAAGCAGAAGAGCAATCAGACAGTTCTATATTCATACAAAAACCTGTATACCTATTTTCAAAGTAGCTTCATTAACAAGAGACAAAACAATAAAACCCCCAAACCAAAACACAGTCAAAAGAACTTAGATGTCCTTCAGTAGGTTAATGTTATACCTGATACATTCACACCATGGGGAACTACTATGCAATAAAGACAAACCAACTGGGGCTGGGGAAATGACTCAGTGAGCAAGTATGAGGACTCAAGACCTGAGTTTGGATCCCCAGAACCCACATAAAAAGTCAACATGGCAATGCACACCTGCAACCCCAGTGCTGGGGAGTGGGGAGGTGGATCCCAGGTGCTGGTCAGCCAGCCTAGCCAGTTGGTGAGTTCCAGGTTCAGTGAGATACTGTCTCAGAAAATAAAGTGGAAAGCAATAAAGGAAAACACCCAACAGTGATCTTTGGCCTCCACATATATGCACACCTGCATACACAAAAATAAACACACCTTTACACACAAAAAATGAACAATGACATATGAGACAAAATGATACATGCAAAAATGTGGATGAATCTCAGCCATCAAGAGACTGGGGAAGGAGAGGGAGATTAAGAGGTATGGTTATCAATGGAAAATAGGTTGGCTCCTTATAATAATGAAACTGGTTTGTTCCTTGATTGTGGTAATGAATATGCAAACCTGTATGTGGGATAACATTTCCTATAATCATCAAAGACACAGAAATGTACACAAAGATGAATAGATGTAGGGGTTGGAAGTGTAGCTTAGTGGCAGAGCACCTTGTGTTCAGTATTAGTACCAAGTCTAAACAAATAAATTTTCAGAAGCTATCCTCTACCCTCCTGTCCCCAAAATGAACAACCACATACACAGAAAATGGTTACACAGAGAAGTAGGGATATTGGAAGAAGATTGGTAGACTCCATCAATGTCAGCTTCCTGACTATGATCTTTTTAGCATGGTTTTGACAAAATGTTCCCATTGGAGGACTAGTGAAGGGTGCATGGAAGACATGGTTCACACTTCTTATAACTGCAGGCAAAGTATGATTACCTAAAGAGAAGCTAAATGAAGAAAATAAAAACACAAACAAGGTGTTTAGAGATCTTATAAATCTTCACCTTTTTTCAAACTGCTTAAGTATCTATGGAGCTATAAAAACCTTGCAAAAATAATCTTGAACTGATATTTATGAGGATTTAAATTTTTTTTTATTTTTATTTTATGTGTATGCGTGTATTGCCTGCATGTAGGTAAGTGCACCCGTGTTGTGCCCTGCCCGCAGAGGACAGAAGACACTG